AGACCCATGCACTGACATAACACATGGCTCAATTACGGCTGCAGCACAAGTTATTTTAAAGAATTATAAACTCCCACTCTAATTTAATATCAACAGCTATGACAAATGCTAATGAAGAGAGATGGTCATTGCCCTAAAAGAATGTTTACATTTGACCAGAGGGGGTCTGCGTTCCAGTCAGCGTTCCAAAAGCGTTCCAGTCAGCACTCACACACACACACACACCCGCTACAGTGACTAAAAGTAAAGTTGCTTGAATATATTTTACACCCTCAGCTCTGACACAACACCTCATCATTTCCTCATCAACTTTAATAGAACTTGTCCGGTGCGTATTTTCCGTTTGGTTACTAACATGTGCCTTTAAGGGTTTACGGGTATCAGAGATGGTAATTAACCCCGTTGACTTCTCCAGTCGTTCCGTTCCTGTTTTTCACACTAACTTAACTGACTTGCAGCCCGGCTTGTCACTGTTTCTGGCTTTGCATTCCATTTGCTTTTTTGTGGGTTTTACCTAGATTCTTTTTGCCTCTGTCTCTCTGTGTACTTCTGTCTGTATTTTGTCTGTTTGTCTTGCTCTTGGTCTCTCATCTTTTTTTATTTCTCCTTACTCACTGTGCAGCCTCTAAAGTCAGCGTTGCCGTGGCAACCGCAAAAGATCTGCAGCTGCAAAGATGTGAAGTCACTCCAATGTGCATATATTTAAGTATGAAGTTGGGACCCTTTAAAGTCTGCTAAAGTCTGCCATACATGGTGAATAAAAATTGGTGCAATATATACTATAATAATATAATAATATAATATATACATACATAAATATATTATACTAATGTTATAAAAATTTTAATTTTTAATTTATATAAATACAGTATACACACACACACACACACACACACATTTTATTCTTTTATTAGGATCCACAAGACAAGCAACAAAAACGGAATCCAAATACCTTGGGAAGTCAGTTTGCAAGATGACAGGTACACATGGCTAACATACATTCACAAGTCCTTATATTTATAACATTCAACACTCAAGGATAGACAAAACATCTTCGTTTCCATATTTGCATACTCCCTATAGTGGCTGAAACTGAACAAAATTTTGCGCGTTTTTTTGCTTTCTTTTTTGCAGATCACAATGTCCGGAGTGTTTGGAATGTTTTTGAAATAGTCTCTGTCAGATGTGTTGTCATAAAACCAGTTCAATTCAACAGTAGTATGCTGGTAAAACTTACTGTCTTTATGTATTGTTTTCAAGTCCTTTACAATCAAATCAACCAGGCGATCGTGTCTGGACACATACAGTCCTTTGTAACAACAACATCCATTTAAGATGTGGGCAACCGTTTCATTTTCCTGTTGATTTTGATGTAACAGACAGTAGGAGTTTTAATTTGATGGGTACCATATTGACAGATTGTACATAGTTGGAAGACATTATAGTCATGCTTTAATCATAAAAATGAGAATATCCTCTGAGATTGAAAAGTTTGTCAAAACAGAGTGGGATACTGGCCGATTGGAGAAGTGCTAATTTTCCCTGTAGTTTCAAGCCCATCCAGTGCTGGGCATTTAGGTTTTTTTTGAGGTGAAGAAGTGAGACTCTTACATTATTGGTCGATAGTTGACGAGGTGTACTTTCGGTGTTGAGAACCGCTAGAGCAGAGATACGCGGGTCTGTTATTATGTTCTCATTAAGAGCCGCTAGCGCTCCGTCAGGTCCCTGCCAAGAGAGCTGCAGTCCTGTGTGCTGCCAAAGATCATTCAAATCCAGCCAATCAGAGCGTACTCCAAATCCGGCTGTTTTGATGTCCAATTTTCCATTCGGTTTTAATTTAAATCCAAGAAACTGGGGCTCATTGCACGAAGCAGCCGGTATTTTGCGCCGCTGTAGATGTAGAAAAAGTGACTCACGTGCCAACTCTGACAGATGCATCGTCGTTATTCAGCATATTAAGAAGATGACCTATTCTGGAGGCAGTATAAATACATTCAATGTTTAGGACACCGAGACCTCCGTCTCGGCGTGACTGGAAAATAATATATCGGGTTGTATGGCTATTGAGGCAGAGCCATTTTCTCACTAGCTTTACCATTTCATCGTTCAGTGTTGAAAGTGTGCATTGTGGAATATGAACATTCATAAATAGATGTTGAATTTTAGCTGTTGCAATCAATCTGATAGCCTCGATCTTCATCATTATGGGGAGAGGGGAAGAGTCAATCAGTGCAAGTCTTCAGGTAAATTCATGACACTGCTCTGTAACCTGTTCCTCCCAGTCACCGCTAACGTTGAATTTATGCCCCAGATAAGGATAGGTTTCATGACGTTCATATAGACGGATAGGTTTATGTGCTAATGCAAAGACCGGGGGTTTGTCAGACTTTGATCTATACCATCTATTTCCTCCACTCCGTCTTTCATAAAACGCAGCACACTTTGTATGTTTCATATCCAAACCAGACCACCTTATGAAGTCATCTGTACGAAGAAGCATATTATGAATTACACTCTCATCTCGTGACGATATTTCCACATCATCCGCATAAGCTTGCACTGGATTTGGAGATCGCACACCTGCTGGTGCGCACTGACACATCCATTTCAGCCAGGAGTTAATCGCTAGTATAAAGTTAATAGCGCTTCAGGGGCAACCGGTCTTAATACCGATCCTGAGAGGTATAGGATCAGTTAAGGCACTTCCACATATGTCTTGAACGTAGGAGTTATTGTAGACGTCCTTGATCACGTCCACATACGGCCGTGGCAGGGGATATGGTCTTTCTTGGGGATTCGATGGATCAATGCACCTTTCCATGCTTCTGGTAGTTTACCGTTCTCAAGACAGATGTTAAATATATTAGTCAGAACTGGGCACAACGTGCTTTTACCAGATTTCAGCGTTTCGTACGTCACACCATCAGATCCGCTTGCTTTATTATTAGGTAAATTACTAATCACTTTCTCTACCTCACTAACAGTAAATAGCGAGGCGTTCAATTGACTATATTGCACCAGATTTAATGGCCCTGTCCATGGCGGCACACTTAATGAACTTTCTGATCTTTCGGGCACACATTTGGAAGTATAATAATTTTGCACAAACTGCTTGCTATTTGTACAGGCTGGTGCACTTGGGTATTTACTGTTGTTAAGAATAACTTGGATTGCTTTAGCTTTTCTATTTTGTCATAAATATGCTAGTTTGTCTTTGCCCACCTGCTTTTGTTCTTGAGTTGCACTCTGTGACGTCCCAAGAGCTTTCTCATAGAAGAATAAAATCTATTATAGAATCGAATAAATTCTCAGATAGATTCTATATCAATTCCCACGTAAAGAGAAATATTTCTTAAATCACGGACATGAAGTTTAAACATTTGGTGAAGTGACAGGAATCTCCTAACACTGCAGGATAAAGGCCCATTCATTATTCATTACACCGATATATAGTGCTGTACATTAATAAGCGCATTTCTCCTGAGCTGTTAGTGTTCATTAGCTAAATAAAGTAAAGCAGAATAGATTTGGCGCTCACTGACCCCCGTACAGCCATTCCTCCTCCTCGTCTCCTGCACTCGCATCAGCGGCGGTGGATTTATCCGTCTCCTCCGCAGACATCTTCTCCTCTGGGCTCTACAATGCGCTCCAGAAGCCAAAGACACTGTCAGATTAAAACCCACCAATCCCGAAAGAGAACGACGTCCCGCAAGAAGCGCAGCTCCGCCTCAATCCAGCTTCCAAGGGAATCCCGGGTTTGAACTTGAGGGAGGCCTCTGTTAATTAATGGCATTTTTTTCAATACACGGGTTGTAAACTTTAAAAATGGTAGTCCAAATGGTCTCCCATTTCGGCAAATTAGTTGAAAAAGTTCCGTTCTTGAAATAAACTCCATTTAAGATGCAGATGAGTTTAATCCATTCTGTCGGCGTTTCTCCAGAGAAAACGAAGTTATGCCTATCCTCAAAGTGTTTTGAATCCAAGGTCTTTCTCCAACCTTTTTCTTGATTTTGAAATGAAAATCGGTTGTTGCCTGCAAATCAGTATGCAAAGCAGGGCATGATTGTGGGAATCTTTGCTGTTCAGACGAATGAATCAACTGAGGGAATTCAGCTGACAGTTCATCTTAATTAAATTCATTGTCTGACTGAACCAACGATACAAATTTATTCTGCGTCCAAGCTACTGCTCTGAAATGCAAATGGACTAGTTGAGCTTTTAGTATTGGACCCTGTTTTCTCTAGTTCATGCTTTGCTTTATTTGCATGACATGTGAAAGCCTTAGCATTTTCAACTGACGTGTTAATTTTGTGCCACTGACTCGTTTCTCATTCCTCTCAGCGATTATGTTTTTAATAGTTTAGTATCAATGATTTATGTGCTCCACATTGATATAACCCAGATACATAATCAGTATCATGTCCTCTCATCAGTCAAAATATAGTCTCCGAAAACCTCACTGTCAAGATGTGCCCCAGATCAAAAAATATTATGCACATTTCTATTCCTTTTTGCAGATTTCAAACAGTTTTTCAAAGCATCACTCATTTATTATGCTTTTTGTAATGCCTTTTTCACTGTTTGTTGACGTTTATATGAGCTAGTCTGTTCGTTTTTACTTTCAGCTGCTAGATGTGTGTGCACAGTACATCACTGCAGCCTTTGGGAGTGTAAGTGGTCCAAAGTGGGCCAGAAAGCGTCGTGATTTATTCTACCCACAAACCCACTGTCCTTGAGATGAGTTAGCAGAGGTGAAGGCTGGTGCTGTCAAGTTCAATTTCATTTCTCCGCACACATACTCACAGAGCGAGTGTTCACAACCTGTCGAACAAGAACAGCTAAGTCTGCACAGAAGACATAATTTTCCAGAGTTTCTTGTCTTTCATTATACTGTCCTACGTGTCAGTCTCCGCAACCCAACACTTTCAGACAAACATGAACATCTTGTTCAGTTGTGATGTCACTAATAAGGTTGCGTTCGTCTCTCTGTCTCCTTGCAGAAATACTCCTGGATGACTTCATGCTGACGCACCCAATCTTCTTGGCCCCAGACAAGTTCCAGCAGGTCTTGCTTCAGCAGTATCCTTTCCCCTCGCCAGAACCATAAGTGCCAAATGTACACCTTTTAACATCTGAAAATCTTCATTGGACGACTGTAACCCTACCTTAATGTGATTTATTCAAGTAGAACATGTACCTGAACATCATATTTTGGAAAAATAGCTCTATATTAACCAGTTTTAGGGCTATGACTGGGATTTAGGGTCTTATCAACATATAATTTCTGTTAGCATTAACATTAAGATTAAAGTTTAGGCTGCAGTTTATGATAGGAATGTTGCTTCAGGACCAGACGCTCTCACATTTGGTGTGGGCAAGTGGAATAGATTGTAGATATTATTTTTTACATTTAATTGAATATTTAATTTTTATTAAATATTTTAAGATTGAACTTAATTTAATTCCTTTTGAATGTATTATTTATTCTTTGTTTTTAATTATCTATTAAAACAGAAGCCTTATAGTATTGAGGGACATGATGATGAGAAAAAATTGATTTGGAGGAAAAAATAAAATTTAAATACTTTGGCATTCGCTCGCAAAACTTTTGCATTTGGGATGGAAAAATTATGTTTAAAAAAATCTATATTTTGCTTTAAGTTTCTTTAGGAATGTGATACTTTAGCAAGAAAACACAAAAGCATTGAAATAAAATTTCTCCTCCCATCTAATATTTTTCCATCATCATGTCCTCTTAGGGGCTCTTTACTATAGCATTAGATCATATCCTGCTGTCTATATCCATTACAGTCTGAAGACATTTTACATGATCAAAGTCTAGCATGACCACACTTTATGGTTTGTCAGACCAATGGACACAACTCAGAACTGGTTAAATCATGTATAACTTGCTAATTGTCTTTCTGGTCAAATTTTGTAGAGCTTCACCTAACTTTTTAGTTTTTAGCTAAAACATCATTATTTTTAGGTCTCGTTTATGTTATTTTGTTTGGAACTGAATGATCACACTGACAGCTATGCTAGTGTCCTACATGTTCTCCAGTCAGTTTGTTTACTTCGCAAAACTTCAGAAAAAGCATTTGGCTCTGAATTATCAAGCCGAACACTTGAATGTCTTCAAAACACTTCCAAAACAAACTGAATTATCTGCCATAAAACAGCCAATACACACAGCCGAAGAGCCTAGCGTCTTTCTACCGCAGGGGGCTAACAGTCGCACATGCCGTTTAAGATTTGGGTCAGAATGATTTACCAATTAGCCGCAATGCTAACCTACCTCTGTCAGACTCTGCAGGCCAACACTCACCCCCCCATCCCTCGGGGTCCATCAGTTTCCTAAATTCAGATAAGATGAGTGCAATGTGGGGAATGTTTGTTTTGTTAGCTTTAAGCATTGTGTCAGAGTGTGTATAAGTGTGTGTGTGCAGAGGACACCCCTCTCTCTTTCATTCAGTGACCTACATTCCTTCTGTGAATGCCATAGCCCCCCCTACCCAGACCATAATGCCGTCTGAGGGGCTTGTCTGCAGATTTAAGCACAAAGGTATTCCTGGGGAGGCCCGTCTGCATGCCTCAGCGCTCCTAATGCAGCGTGTCTGCTGCGCGGCGGCCCCCCGAGTGTCTGCGGCAATCAGTGACCCTCGCTAATCTTCCCTGACTGCCGTCACCACCTCGCCTTGTGAGCCACTCCTCTCTTTCTCTTTCCTCTCCCTCCTCCCAGGCCATTTATCTTTCCACTTTCCACACCTTTTTTCCTGGTCTTTGACTTGACCTAATCCAGGCCTAATCAGATCTTTTTGTTGTGGCAACATGTCTGCTTCCTGCTTAGAAAAGCCCCGTCTCGTAGACTTCCCACTCGTCAGGGCTCATTTGAGGGGTTTAATAAAAAGATTTCAAAGCAGGATGATTCCGTTTCACTCAGGACTGATAGTGCTTTTAGCTCTTCACACATTGACAGTCCCGGTGGAGTCGGCCTGGCCGGACTCCAAACCCCTGTGGCGGCCGCGATCCAGGGCTTGTGCGAGGGAACAGAGTTCAAATTTCGCAGCTGCCCAGCAGCTCAGACGGCTGCTGTTTTTTGGCACCCGAGCAGAGGTGATGGCTCTGGATATAGATTTACTAGATCTATGATGCCATTTGCAGAAGCTCCTCTTGGGCCTTTTTTGTATGGGAATAGCTGTCAATTTTAGACGGGGTTTCGGGGACTCTTTAATTATAGGCAGAGAGGCTCAGGGATACTCCACTTTAAATTTAGTCCGCCTTTCCGGTTTCCTGCTCATATGATTGGTAGGATTGGGGACAAGGAGTCTTTGCAGATTTTTAGGTCATCTTATGTGCCGATAAAGTATATGTCTTTGCTTAAATGCTTATGTGTGACTTTACCAACTTATGTAAGCCTGCGAGTACAGAAAAATCCATTCCACGTGTGATTATGTTGTAACTTGTGTGTGTGTATGTGAGTGTGTGTGGGTGTGAAGGGTGTGTTCCATCGGCCTCAATACTTTTCAAAGGTTGCAATTATTCTGGCTGTCTGGCCACAGAAGCAGAGATTTTGTTTTTCCAGTGTGGCATCTGTGTCAGGTGATCGGACAGTGGCTGTCTGAGCATGTGTTTATCTGCATACACTCATAAAAACCCAATAATTTCTGTGTTTCTGAGCAATCTTTCTATCTATCTATCTATCTATCTATCTGTCTGTCTGTCTGTCTGTCTGTCTGTACAGGTATAGACGTGTGTATTCACTGTATTTAGTGAGAGCAGGTGTGTATGAGTTGGCTCGTGAGTGTGTTGTTTCTTAACTCCTGGCTCAGATTCAGCTCAGAGGGTAAGCAGGGTGAGGGCTGGCCCGGCTGGGACGGAGCTGAGCGGAAACTTGCAGTTCTGACTGTGGCCTTCCGCTATCTGGACACATACAGAGACTTACTGCAGGAGGAGGGAGATCGCTCCAACACTTTTCCAAAGGTACTGCACTTGTTTATAAAAAAAAAAAGAAAAAAAGCTCAAAACTCATAAATGTTTTTTCAAATTTTCCAATGCATACAAACAACAAAATAAAAAGCTAAAAAAAAAAAATCTGCAAAATAGAATGAAGAATGATAATTTTTGATTAAAAAAAAAAGAAGTAATTATTTAATGAGGATTTTTGTCTTGTTTCTCATATTAATTGATTTGGGAAACAACATGAGTCTTGTTCAAAGAATAAATCTTGAATTAAGCATGAACCTCATTCAGTTTTGTTAGAAGTTTATTTAGAAAAATAAACCTAATTGCAGATTTGTATATTTTGTACCATTTGTACAGTCCTTAGAGTGTCATCACTGGTATAAGATTATCAGGGTTACTATGGTAACCCTGCGCTAAGGAAAATATTGCTCTTTTTGTCTGTTTGACATCAGTTTTTCTTAATTAAAGACAAACACACCTGTGCTCCAGACGTTATTTTTTTCTTGTTTGTGATATTTTGTTCCGGTACATGACTACACAATATTTATTTTGAAACCTGTTCTTATGTTTTCTTGCAGCTGTTTTTAGACATCAGACCATGAATTAGAACTGTCTGTTTTCACATTGTCGTTTCATTAATATTAAAATGCTTATTGAAATTCTAGGAATTTATAAAAAGGTTCATTTTTCACCGTCGTTTGCTTCATCTCCTTTATTTCCTTCCTCCTGGTCTTAATAATAAATGCATGTCGTTTCAGGAGCTGTATTTGTGCGCCGTTCAGGAGCTCAGCCGCTTTCCTGAACTGGTGGAAGACGTCCTGAAGCTTCAGCGCTGGACTGAGATATTGCACAGCCCGTAAGCATCAAATCCCCCTCATCCTTGCAGTGGAATATTAATATAAGCTATAAATATTTTTTATGAGCTATAATGGCTGCAGAAATCATTGGAACAGAAAATCATATAACACATGAAGCCTCTTAGTTTGGTGAAGTACAACATGAGTTGTAAAGTATTAAATGAGGCGCATGCAGTTGCCCAATAAGAGCTTTAGAACCAGATGAAGAATTAATGTGCAGAGATTAATGCTTTAATGTGTTGTGTTCGATTTCGATTGTGTCATTAAAAGCCTCTACAACAGGACAGCAGTTTTGTCATAAAACCTTAAACAGTTCTTTTTTGTTTATAAAAAAAGCACATTTTTTTCCTGGCACTGGCATGTTTGGTCTTTCTGCATCTTTAAATTCTAAGGATGCCATGCAAACATAATCAATGCGTTTTTCTTGGTTTTGGCAGATTGGAGTTTAAAATTTCTTGCTGTCCAGTTATAAACAGTTTAAGAGCATGCTATGACTGCTCCTTAAATATCTTGCCCATGCATAGAATATTTTCCATCCCTGATGCCATTACTAAACAAATTGTAGGTTAATAATAGTCTTTTGGGGACAAATAACTTATTCAATTATTTACACATGAATAGCTACCTGACTTGTTTTCCCTTCTATCCGACAGAGCCGAGGAGGACAAGGAAAGTCGCAAGAAGCAAGTCCGCCCGCTCTTCCGACACTTCAGGCGTATCGACGCCTGCCTGCAGCCCCGAGAAGCTTTCCGTGGCTCGGACGAGAGTACGTTCAAACCTTCATTTTAATAGGATGCATAAATATTTCACAGCCTGACCACAGTTTATTACCATTGCTTTTGCTTAGCTGTGCAATAACGCCCATGAGAATACTGTTAGTTAATCATCTTATTCATCCTTTTTTTGTGAAAATGCCAGTCTGCTTTCACTTCATTCAGACCAGGATGACAAATCGGGTCACAAAGTAGCATCTGCCAAGTTTTATAGATGCAATGAGCTCATCTGATGAAATGAGACTCTTTGTCAGGGCAGTGGCTCAACCCAAGCTAAGTGATTTCCCAGACCTTAATCAATAGGCAATCTGACAGTACAAAACGCTGCTGACCCTGAAGCCTCCAGTGACCTGGTTTGTGCTTTTGTCAGAGCCGTGACTGGTAAATGGAGAGGAGGTCAATACTGTACATAATTACTACTATTCAAAGTTTTGCCTCTTTTATTTAACTTGAGATAAAATGATTCAGTAAAAATGGGTGATGGCGATGTTAAAGGGTTAGTTCACCCAAAAATGAAAATTAGCCCATAAATTACTCACCCTCAAGTCATCCTAGGTGTATATGACTTTCTTCTTTCAGACGAATCCAGTCGGAGTTATATTAAAAATGGTCTTTGATCTTTCAAGCTGTTTCATGCCACTCAGCGGGTGTTGCATGCATCAGTCCAAAAGCAGTTAAATAAAATGCGCCCATCCATAAAAAAAAGTGTCTCACACGGCTCTGGGGAGGAACAAAGGCTTTCTGTAGCGAATCGATGTGTTTTTGTAAGAAAAATATCCATATTCAAAACGTAATAATCACTTTAATGTAGCCACTGCTTTTGGCTAGTGGATCTCAGTGTTCTTCCAGATTGATATTCAGTCAGGAGATCCGAAAGATAGGGCGGTGCAAGACCATTCAACGATTTATATACTAATAAAAGTATTTTAAAATCAATTCTATAATGTACCAGAAGCCAGTGCAGTGAGACTAAGATGGGGGCAATATGTATTATGTAATGAATTTGACTGTTTAGTTCTTGTTTAGTCTTCTGCAGGGTTTACACACCAGATCACTCATACGTGACCATTCGGAGTCGTCTTTCATGCCGGGTCAGAGAGATCTTGGCTCTGGTGAAAGAGAAACTTCAGTATAGCGAGGACCAGCCCTTCCAACCCGCCAACCTCATACTGGTGGCCGTCACCTCATCTGGGGGTAAGAGAATTAAAGTCCGTACCATGCACACGAACACCATGCAAACTTACTAAGACCTCACTTGCACACTGAAACCCCAAACAGCGTCATGTGTGTAAATTATGAAGTGGCATGACAATTTATAATGATCCAGACCTTGACTCGCTGTTTGGGAACATGCCATTTTTTGGATTGACTTGGCTCATCTGCTTTAACATCACAATCTAATCTGTGTTTGTTCAGAGAAGGCTGTGTTCCGTCCCAGCGACGAGGCCGTTTTCACCACTCTGGGCGTCAACACCCACCTGTTCGCCTGTGAGCCCGCGGAGCTCGAGAGTTTGGTGAGAACCGTGGGCGAGACACTCATGTGGGGGGGGGGGGAGTGGTGTTCCCATAGAGACCCTCATAAACAGCAAGCATAAGTGTTCTGTATTTGTTACAGTCATACTGGAATTCTTACTTATGATTGTTAAACACCACAAATTAAAATGTTCACTGAAGATATGTTATCTACAGCAGTGCTGAGAACTTGATTCAGTGGTTTAGAAAGCATTCGATTGCCATCAAAATCTTGTTTTATTCAACCACAAAGCGAAAGTGGCGTCTCGTCATGAGTCAAACAGAGAGCTGGAGTTATTTAAAATCTACAATCGTAGTTCAGCTTCAGTGTGGGAGAAGAATGCGGTAGGATGTAAGCAAATATCGAAGACTTGGGGGCACCTAATGTTAAAGTTATTGAAAAACCCATATTGACTTGTCCCGCTCAGTGTCTTTTGGTGATTACGATCCTCATCCTCATGTCTTTGTCGGTCAGATACCGCTCCCTGAGGAGATCCACTGGTCACCAGGAGACAGCAAACTCCATGACATGAGTGCAGAGGAGGTGGCCAATCAGCTGGTGGTGTTCGACTGGGAACTCTTCAGCTGTGTGCACGAGGTCAGGACACTACAGCCCTCAAATCATCAGTATTCAGCACAGCTTCACCACAGACAGACACAGGGCAGCGTAAAGCTGCTGCAATGCATTGTGCACAAAATATCAGAATGTTTAATGTTTCCACATCTTTTTTAATTGGAAGATGTCCGGAGATTCATTCTTAAAAGACAAATTCCTTGTAGCCTCTGCATTAAACTTTGGTACATTATAGATTAGTTACTTTTTTCTTAATTTATGTGCATGGCAGATGATTTTATCTAAAGCAAATTGCAGGGCATTTGAGGTGCATTTTATGTGAATTTGGGAATCAAACCCATGACCTTTTTAGTTGCTAGTGTCATGCTCACAATTAAATAGTCGTTTTAAATTAGTAACATTTATTTATTTACTCTTTATTAGTTACTTTTAAACTTCATTTGTAAAAGTTTCAAGGTTTTAAATGCACAAATACTATCCTGAGATTTCACAATGGCACTCATTATATACACAAACAAAATAAAGAATGTGACAGTGTTGTTGTTGTTGTTATCTGAAACTAAAACTAATAAAATTGAATTATAAGAAAGCTGAAAGTAAATAAAATATAAATATTAGATGAAAAACTTTACTTAAAAAGCTTGGAAATATTGCCGTGACTACCAACTGAAATAAAATATGATTTGGTACTAAAATGACTAAAACCAAAATGGGAATAAATTATAAAAGCTATATAGAAAAATGTAAAAAAATAAAACTAAAATAAAAAAATACAAAAGCTCCCAACAAAATGACTAAAACTTAAACTAAAATTAAAATAAAACTGAAAATGTAAAATAAAGGCTAATTCTAAATAAATAAATAAATAAATATTATAATAGTATATAAATAAAATTTTAAAATTTTAAAAATCATAAAATGACACTGTCCTAAAATGGTAAACAATATATCTTAATTTGTCAGTATGCATATTTTTAATTGGTATATCCTTCATAGGGTGGTTTACTACAAATACGTATCAAGACTTGTCTAGTGCTACAATGCATCCTCTGTAGTTTTCCATTGCAAACAAATTTGTGCCTTAGGAAGCTGGCTTTTAGTTCAAGGCTAGCCACACAGCAAAGTTCATGTAAAAACAACAAAACTTTTTCCGTGTATCTTTGTTCCTGTTCGCGTTTGATTTTTTTTTTTTTGGGGTGGGGGTTTGTTTGAACAGGTGGAGTTTGTGTGTTACGTATTTCACGGGGAGCAGGCTCGCTGGCGCCCCCTCAACCTGGAGCTGATCCTGCAGCGATGCAGTGAAGTGCAGCACTGGGTCGCCACAGAGATCCTGCAGTGCCAGTCGCTTCCGAAGAGGATACAGCTACTGCGCAAGTTCATAAAGATTGCAGCCTTGTGAGTGTATATGTGTTTGGGTAGGGTGCAAGCTGAAACCGCTTATGAAGGTGACAAAAATGAATTATTCAGGAATCATCACAGTGTGTCAGAACTGTGAACATGATAACGTATGACACCCCACGTATATCAACACCTATTCAGTATTCTGGCTTTCGGAGGGGGTGGTTAGCCAATCACAAAAGGGTTCATTTGCATATAGTTTTAATGGTTCAGTAGCAGAAAACACCTGTTTAATTTTAAGGTTCAGAAAGACGGGAAAAAAGAGTCATGTAAAATGAAATTAATCTGTTTTTGATGGAAGAAACTTTGACTTGCATCATAAGCGGACTTAAGGGGGAAAATATTCACATCTTATTCACATTCCAATGTCATTTTAGTTCCCTTTCAGTCGGTCACTCTCGACGTCACGTCGGATGACCGACGAAATTGGGATCTCGCTTAGAGAGACCAATCTACGCAGCTGGATGCAATAATCGCATGCCAATGTGCATTGGCTCGTTTAGTTTACACTCGAAGTAGATTGGTCTCTCTAAGCGAGATTCCAATTTCGTCGGTCATCCGACGTGACGTTTCCGTTCCCTCCTTCAGGGAACGAGGGTTACCATACGTAACTGAGACGTTTTATTTATTTACTGTTATAGTACTTATTAATTATAAATTAGCTTTTATTTTTATATTTTCAGTTTTCAAGTTTTAGTAACTTTGATATGTGCTTTTGTTATTTCTATATAGCTTCAGTTTATTTTGATGCCAGTTTTAGTAATTTTAGTAGTGAAACTAAATTTGTTTCAGTTAGTTGCCAAACATTTCTTAGTTTAAGTTAAAGTTTTTCATCTAATATTTGTTTATTTTATTTCGGCTTTATTTCAATTATTGTTTTAGAGAACTTTAACAGCACTATTACGTTCTTTATTAGGTTTGTGTGTGTAATGAGTGCTGTTGTGTGTCTGTGTGTGTGTTTTAGATGTAAACAGCAGCAGGATCTGCTGTCGTTCCTGGCGCTGGTTCTGGGACTGGACAACCCTGCAGTCAGCCGCCTACGTCTGACCTGGGAAGTGAGTGCATCTGTTTGTTAATCTCCCTTTTTCACATTCTCTTTCTCACACACAGTCTCTTAGCACCTCTGCCTACTCTCGTTCCTAAGAACCGTCGAGTGTTATTCTTGGCAGGAGGCTATTAGCAGTTGTCATGACAACAGAACTGAATTAGCTTGTGCTGTTCCAAAGGAAATATTTCCACGTCCAGCTGTACATTTAATGTCAGATTCTGCCTTTTTATTTTAAAATAAATAATAACTCCTCAGTCCTCTGGATTTTTACCTCATGTGTTGTGTTTTAAATGTGTTCACTCATCCGAGTTTTAATTGGCACGCGAAATGTGTCATTCGCTAATTGCATATGTGTGTGCGTGTGTGTTTTTGCAGGGTTTGCCAGGAAAGTTCCGGAAGCAGTTTCAGCAGTTTGAGAGCATTGCGGTAAGTGAAGAAAAATCCCAAATGCAATTTAATATCTGAACTGTTTCTCCTAGACAGCAGTGAGATTAAATGGAGGGCAAGCGGAGACTTTTGCTTAGGTCTTCTGCTTCTCAGTTGCTTATCTTGAGAGAAAGACTCCTAGAGTTTCAGATAACATCTCAAAAATGTCTTAACTGTGCTCAGATTTGCAAAGAACAAAAGTTAGAGAACTCAGTATGAGCTTTTTCTTATCATTTTTCTAATCAAATTCTTCCATGATCATTATCTGAACTATAAAATCCATGTTCATTTTATAACTCTACACTCTAATTGTATGTCAACAATTGTCTCATTTGTCTATTTTTATTTCTACTCGGTACTTGTAGAAATAAATACTTTGATTTCTTTATTTCTAAATGAATACTTTATTTCTAAGTTAAAGAATAGTTCAACCAAAAATGAAAATTTGCTGTTGAATTACTCACCTTCGTGCCATCCAAGATGTAGATGAGTTTGGTGATTCATAAAATGCAAGACAATGAGCTCTGTCACTTTAAGAGTCAAAAAAGCAGGTACAGGAAAAAACAAAATGAATCAAATGATGTTCAGTTTCTATCACAGACCGATCGTTTTTCTTCAAAAGACCTCAGTATTTTGCCAGGAGCTAATTTTGTTTCCTGTACCTGCTTTTTTGACTCTCAAAGTGACAGAACCCATTAACTTGCATTTTATAAATCACCAATGACCATGGGTTCAGCTAAAAATCTTCTTTAATGTTTTACTGAAGAAAGAAAATCACCTACATCTTGGATGGCCTGAGGGTGAGCAAATAAACAGCAAATGCTCATTTTTGGGTGAACTATCCCTTTAATAATTGAGTGCAGTGTAACTGAGAACTCCATTGAGCCTCTTGATCTCTGAAAGAACAACCTCTGAGCAATGAAATTTGTCACTCTGAAGGCTCATTTGACATTAATCGACAGCATTTGTGATGATGATGTTGTTTGTGTTGCTACAGGACCCTTCGAGGAACCACAAGTCATACAGAGACCTTCTAGCACTCACTCACTCACTCACTCACTCACTCACTCACACACACACAGTCTCTTCCTCCAGCTGTTGTCCATATGTGTTCCTATAAAGTCCCCTCCTGCCGTGAATGCCTCTGTGATTTGAAGTCGGTCTGAAAGGCCCGCCTCATTAATTAACGCCCCTCTGATCTGCAGCTCCTGTATATGCTGGATTTCAGACCCCCTGCAGCCAAACATGCACCAGGGATCAAGACGCATGCATACACATTAGTGATACACACAAACACATGTGCATTTTGTGTTATGATGGGACTTCCAGTGTTTTTTTTTTTCTTTACTGAGCAAATTATAGATTCTATCCTCTAACCCTAAACTTGACCCTTAATCCCAGAATTTTTGCGTGCCATTAAGACATTATTTAATCCCTTTTTGGGTGTCCTTGTGGACTTCTGTGGGGTTTTGTCATTCTACTATGCTTGAGGGGATATTTGGTGCCCACAGTGAAAGCAAAACCTGACCCACACTTTGTTGCTGCGATTCATTAAAAAGTTTCATTATATGCTCAAATTGTTGCCTGAAAAACACATAAAATCTTGCACAAAGATCTTGTACTGAGTGACTCAAGGGAAATTTTTTAGCATTAATGCCTAAAAGTAGAGGAAATGTATTGATGCACATTTTTGCACTTTTTCTCTCTCACGTCGTTGCAGAGCGCAAGTATATACACTACCATTCAAATCTAAGCTGGTTTAGAAGTCTCTTATGCTCACCATGGCTGCATTTATTTGTTCAAAAACATATTGTGAATATTGTGAAATATTATTACAATTTAAAATGAGTGTTTTCTATTTTAATACATTTTAAAATGTAATTTATTCCTGTGATGCAAAGCTAAATTTTCTGCATCGTTCAGTGTCACATGATCCTTCAGAAATCATTCTAATATACTGATTTGCTGCTTAAAAACATTTCTTACTATTATAAATGTTAAAAACTGTTTTGCTGCTTAATATTTTCAATATATAAATACATTCATGATTCTTTGGTGAACAGAAAGTTCAAAAGTACAGCATTTATTTGAAATTGATTTTTTTGTAGCAATCTAAAAAATCTAAATAAAAGTATTTTAAAACATCTTACTTACCTCAAACCTTTGAATGGTAGTGTATGAGTGCTTCTCAATTTAGTTTTCTTTCCCCCTTCTGATTTTAAAACCGTATATACACATACACACCTTTATCCACATTTCTACACACATTCATACACACAGCTGCTATATTCCTGTCTCATCTGTCCTCTCTCATGTCTGTAGTCTCTCCATGTCTTTTCACTCTCTGTCTCCTTCCCTGTAGGTGCTCATGACTCAAGCCTGTCAGGATCAGTTGAGCATCAAAGTCTTTGCTGAGAATTGCTCTGCTTTTCAGTCTGACACACACATTACATGACTCTGGCACGAGACACAAAGACATCAAGGGCCTCATTTATAAAACGTGCGTATGCACAGATTTGATCGTAGAGTGTGCATACGCAAAAATCCACGCTAACGTTCACATTTATAAAAACGGTCTTTGACGTGGAAAAGAGCTTAGCGCCACGTCAGGGTCTGAGCAGACGTACGCACTTTTGTTTGCCCAAGTTTTGGAAATATAAGCCATTCTTGCCGCTTGTAAAAGATTTGGACATTGTCAGGTGCTCTTTTATAAGTCAATGACATTAATTAGACATCGTTTACAAGGCGGAGATCTGAAACTGTTCAGCTGCGCACAATTTCAAGATCATTGCAATTTATAGATTTCACATCTAAAAGAGAGGCGTACACACATTTTCTGTGCATACGTTCGTTCTATGAATCACACGTACGCACTTTGAGAAATGATCGTAAAATCTAATTTAGGATGCTTTCTACGCAGTATTTTATAAATGAGGCCCCAGAATACGAAAGACAGGCTTTGTAAATTATGAAAAACAAGCTCAAGATTCATTTTAGCAAACTCATTTTTTTAGCAAACTTTTGATTCATTTGGATGAACAAAACACTAGTTTGTTTAACAAAACACTGAAGTGTTCCCATACATTTTCATGCATTTTAGCATATTTTGTAGTGTAATAGTTATAATCATTTAGAATAGTTGTATTTAATTCAGCTTTGCATCACAGGAATAAAGTACATTTTAAAATATATGAAAATAGAAAATGCAGCCTTGCTGAGCATAAGAGACTTCTTTTAAAAACAGAAACAAATTCTTACCAAATGAAAGTGTATATGTTTTATTAAATAAGTTACTCCCAAACAAAGTTCTCTCCTAATCTGAGGGATTTAATAAAATGAATTAATGAAAAGAATTGGTTGAAAACAGTTGTTTAAATTAGGGGTGCGCCGATCCGATATTCAGTATCGGTATTGCTCCGATACTGGCATTTTCTGCTGGATCGGGGTATCGGTCAGACGAGACCGATCCAAATCCGATATTGTGCGTATACTATTTTGTATTATTATTAAGCCCCACGAAAGCCACATAAACATTATAAAGCACAATAAAGTTTCCGTGCCCTGCATTTCAAGTGTTCTGAAGCTGTTCCATAGTTTAATGTGAGGTACAGATGAATATTCAAGTCAAGTTCACGTAAACTCTTCTCTCGGCTGCGGCTGTCTGTCATCCTCCATTCAGTATTCAAACTGCGTGTCACGTTCGGTTACGACAGCCAAGACGATGAAACTCTCTCCAAGATGATTAAATGTTCCTAATGTTATACTTGATCTGTAAATGGTTTCGCATAAAAGGAATTTATCTTGCTGGAGTTTCGTGCTGTTTCTAAATCGTGTAAATTTCTACCGGATATCTGGTTAGATCACAAGACTGGAGTAGAGAGCACTATGAATTGTTCTTCACGAGCACAGTAACTGAAATTTAAAAATGTGAAAAGAAAAGGCTCAATAAACTAACGCACATATATAATACGCATCAATATCTCTTCACTTTGTGCTTTGAACTTTTCTATGCGGAGCCTTGCATGCAGTGACTCCGTGTTGCTTCAAGCGCATCATTCTGCGCACGGGATGCACATAAGCGCTTTGTGCCACTCCGTGGAGCCTTTAGTATTATAATACTTTTGCGCAATGAAAGATTATTAATAGCCTTTCTTGTT